GATGGCGCCCTGCGTCTGGTAAGAGACTAAAATTGCACAAGTTAATCTGTTGTCTGCTGGGAACTGTTGTGCTTTCTTCAAGTAACCCAACTTTGCCAGGCAACAGTTTTTTCTTTTTTTTTTTTCGTCAGTGGCACTGGCCACCATGTATAAATACATAAGGGGGGATATGATCTCCATGTATAATACATAAGGGGGGATATGATCTCCATGTATAAATACATAAGGGGGGATATGATCTCCATCTATAATACATAAGAGGGGGATATGATCTCCATGTATAATACATAAGGGGGGGATATGATCACCATGTATAATACATAAGGGGGATATGATCTCCATGTATAATACATAAGGGGGGTATGATCACCATGTATAATACATAAGGGGGGATATGATCTCCATGTATAATACATAAGGGGGGATATGATCTCCATGTATAATACATAAGGGGGGATATGATCACCATGTATAATACATAAGAGGGGGATATGATCTCCATGTATAATACATAAGGGGGATATGATCTCCATGTATAATATATAAGGGGGGATATGATCACCATGTATAATACATAAGGGGGGATATGATCTCCATGTATAATACATAAGGGGGGATATGATCTCCATGTATAATACATAAGGGGGATATGATCACCATGTATAATACATAAAGGGGGGATATGATCATCACCATGTATAATACATAAGGGGGGATATGATCTCCATGTATAATACATAAGGGGGATATGATCTCCATGTATAATACATAAGGGGGGATATGATCTCCATGTATAATACAAAGGGGGGGATAGAGGGGCGGACTGACCATTTGGAAACTCGGGCACTGCCCGAGGGCCTGCGGTCAGTAGAGGGCCCCATGAGATGCCCCTGGTACCTTTTTCATGGGCTTTTTTGACTTTGGGCAAGGACACAGGGGCCCCATGATCCCTTATTGCCCGGGAGCCCCATGAGTTGTCAGTCCGCCCCTGGGAGGGATATGATCTCCATGTATAATACATAAGGGGGGATATGATCTCCATGTATAATACATAAAAAGGGGATATAATCACCATGTATAATACATAAGGGGGGATATGATCTCCATGTATAATACATAAGGGGGGATATGATCTCCATGTATAATACATAAGAGGGGGATATAATCAACATGTATATCGTAAACCTGATTAACACCCTCTCCTCCTGCCCTCGCCGACTCTTCTCCACCTTCAACTCCCTGCTCTCTCCCCCCCTCCTCCACTCAGTACCTCACTCACCGCCCACGAGATAGCCACTCATTTCCACAATAAAATTGATGCTATCCGTCAGGACATAGTCAACTCGCAATCTACCTCCCCACCTAGCCTCCCCCCCCCTATCTCCCCCTCATCTCTTCCCTCCTCTGACCTTGCAACCGCACTGCCCCCCTCCACACCCAAGACCCCGCTTACCGTAACCCCACCAGCTCTGCACTCCTTCAGCCCCGCTACCACTGAGGAAGTCACCAGGGTCTTCTCTGAAGCCCGCCTCACTACCTGCCCCCTAGACCCTATCCCCTCTCGACTCCTCCAGTCACCCCCCTCTTCCCTCATCTGCTCCCTCACCCACATCTTCAATCTCTCCCTCTCTACCGGCGTATTCCCCTCCCCCCTAAAGCATGCGCACATCACCCCCATACTCAAAAAGCCCTCCCTGGACCCCTCTGACCCAAACAACCTCAGACCCATCTCCCTGCTGCCACTCACTTCCAAACTCCTGGAGCGCTTAGTCTACAACCGCCTAAGCGCCCACCTAACTGACAACAACCTCCTTGATCCACTACAGTCCGGCTTCCGTCCCCTACACTCCACCGAAACCGCCCTCCTCAAAATCACCAACGACCTACTTACCGCCAAAGCCAAAGGCGACTACTCTGTCCTCCTCCTCCTGGACCTCTCCGCGGCCTTCGACACAGTTGACCACCCCCTCCTCCTTAATAAACTATTCTCCCTTGGCATCAGAGACACCGCTCTCTCCTGGTTCTCCTCTTACCTATCCCGACGCTCCTTCAGCGTTTCCTACAATGGTGCCACCTCCCCTTCCCTCCCCCTCTCTGTTGGGGTCCCCCAGGGCTCTGTCCTTGGACCCCTTCTCTTCTCCATCTACACCTCCTCCCTTGGCAAACTCATACACTCCCACGGCTTCAACTACCATCTCTATGCTGATGACACTCAAATTTACCTCACCACCCCTCACCTCACCTCCACTTTCTCCGCCCGCATCACTCACCTCCTAAACGACATCTCTGACTGGATGTCGCTCCATTTCCTCAAACTCAACCTCTCCAAAACCGAGCTTCTCGTCTTCCCTCCTGCCCGCGCCCCCCCCCCATCCTATCCATCACTACTAACATCACCACCATCAATCCCGCCCCGCAAGCCAAAGTCCTTGGGGTCATTCTGGACTCTAACCTCTCCTTCCAACCTCATGTCAAATCACTGACAAACACATGCAGGCTCCACCTCCGCAATATCGCCAAAATACGCTCCTTCCTTACCCCAGACACCGCTAAACTACTTGTGCACTCCCTGATTATCTCACGCCTTGACTACTGCAACTCCCTCCTCACCGGCCTACCCCAGTGCAAACTCTCCCCGCTTCAGACCATCCTGAACTCAGCTGCCAGACTCATCCACCTCACCACCCGCTCCACCTCTGCCACCCCCCTCTGCCTCTCCCTCCACTGGCTCCCTATCGCCCAACGCATCAAATTCAAACTACTCACTCTGACCTACAAAGCCATTCACAACACTGCCCCTAACTACCTCACCGACCTGATTCCCAAGTACCACCCTACCCGTACCCTTCGCTCTTCACAGGACCTCCTTCTATCTTGCTCCCTGGTCTCCTCCTCACACGCACGTCTGCAAGACTTCTCCAGGTCCTCCCCCATCCTCTGGAACTCACTACCCCAATCCATCAGACTGTCACCTTCCCTCCTCACCTTCAGGCGCTCCCTGAAAACCCACCTCTTCAGGGAAGCCTACCCCACCCTCACCTAACTGCTGCTCTCCTTCATTCCTCCTACCACTCCATCCCCCACAGCCACTTCCTCCTGTACCACTACCCCCTCCCTCCCAGATTGTACGCTCGAAAGAGTAGGGCCCTCTTACCCCTCGTGTGCTGTTCGTAGCTGCTGTAATGTTTCATGTATTGTCCCCCCCTCTATTGTACAGCGCTGAGCAAACCCTTTGGCGCTATATAAACTCAATGTAATAATAATAATGTATAATACATAAGGGGGGATATGATCTCCATGTATAATACATAAGGGGGATATGATCTCCATGTATAATACATAAGGGGGATATGATCTCCATGTATAATACATAAGGGGGATATGATCTCCATGTATAATACATAAGAGGGGGATATGATCTCCATGTATAATACATAAGGGGGGATATGATCTCCATGTATAATACGTAAGGGGGGATGTGATCTCCATGTATAATACGTAAGGGGGGTATGATCACCATGTATAATACATAAGGGGGATGTGATCTCCATGTATAATACATAAGGGGGGATGTGATCTCCATGTATAATACATAAGGGGGGATATGATCTCCATGTATAATACATAAGGGGGGATATGATCTCCATGTATAATACATAAGGGGGATATGATCTCCATGTATAATACATAAGGGGGATATGATCACCATGTATAATACATAAGGGGGGATATGATCTCCATGTATAATACATAAGGGGGATATGATCTCCATGTATAATACATAAGGGGGGATATGATCACCATGTATAATACATAAGGGGGGATAGGATCTCCATGTATAATACATAAGGGGGATAGGATCTCCATGTATAATACATAAGGGGGATATGATCTCCATGTATAATACATAAGGGGGATATGATCACCATGTATAATACATAAGGGGGGATATGATCTCCATGTATAATACATAAGGGGGGATATGATCTCCATGTATAATACATAAGGGGGAGATATGATCTCCATGTATAATACATAAGGGGGATATGATCTCCATGTATAATACATAAGGGGGGATATGATCTCCATGTATAATACATAAGGGGGGATATGATCTCCATGTATAATACATAAGGGGGATAGGATCTCCATGTATAATACATAAGGGGGGGATATGATCTCCATGTATAATACATAAGGGGGGATATGATCTCCATGTATAAATACATCAGTGGTTCATATAGTGAACTCGGTGTAGAGTTATTCCCCCTGAGGTCATCACAGAGGACAAGGGGGCACTCTTTATGTCTTGAGAAAAATAAATGTAATCTCCAAACACGGAAAGGTTTCTTCACAGTGAGAGCTGTGAAAATGTGGAATAGACTCCCTCAAGAGTTGGTTCTGACCAGCTCAGTGGATTGCTGTAGGAAAGTCCTGGATTCTTTCTTGGATACACAGAATATAACTGGATATAACATTTATAGGTAAAGTTGATCCAGGGAATATCCGATTGCCTCTTGGAGAATCAGGGAGAAATGTTTTCCCTGCAGGAGCAAATTGGATCATGCTTTGCTGGGGGGTTTTTTGCCTTCTTCTGGATTAACTGTGGGTGTAGGATTATAACTTTTTTTTTTTTCTTTTTTTTTTAATGGTTGAAGTGGATGAATTTTTATCTTTTTTCAGCCAGACTAACGATGTAACTATCTGCTAAAATATACATACAGGGTATGATTTAGCAGACAATACTGCTAATATCCGCACATCTGACAGAGAAAATGATTAAGGAAGTTGGGTTCTGCCTGCACTGGACAAGTTGAAAATGAGCAGAAAATCATTTGACAACCTGATGAAATATCAAAGGGCCTTATATGGATATCTTTATACATGTCAGATCAGTTCCCTATGTTCTACCTTTTGCCTGGCTCACCAATTTGCTGTCAATTCACAAAGGATACATAGATTTATCTGACTCTCTTTAGTAGATTAGAAAAGATTTTTTTTCATAATTTATTCCGCCGTGAACATGGTATATTCTTATGCAGGAATTCCAATATCTCTTTCCATATACTTTCCTGGGCTTGGCAGTGAGACACAAGGTCTCCACCCCAGCTCGCTGGGAGTGAAATGAAAAGTGCTTTGGACACAGAGCAATAGGGGAAACCAGGGGGCTCTAGAATGTGGCCAGCTCCGGGGTAACTCCTTAAATAGACATCCTGCTTGCCATTATTGTGTGCTCTGGCTATTGCCTCCTTGGCAAAAAATAAGCTATTGCACGTCTGGTCATTTTCTCCCACCAAAAAGAGGATGGGACCTCGGGCCCTCTCCACTGGAATTATGGAATTCTGGTGTTCAGGCTTATTTGGATCGTCTAGTATCCCAGAAAGAACGACTCCTCTGTCTGTGGTCAGCATTCTTTCTGGACGATAGGGAATTCCAGGAATGATGGCATCTCTGTATCTGAGAGCAAATTCATTGATTGCATTGGTTCCATTGATACAAATGGTCGCAGCCACCTGGGGCAAATAAGATGCCATTGCCAAGGCCAGCTCTGCACCTTTGCATAAAGAGACGATTCCAATCCCATCTCCAAAAACCTAAAATAGGAGGGAAGCAATTAGGATAAAGAGTCAGAAATCTGGAACTGAAGAGTCTTTTTTCAGAAGTTAAAACTCTAATTAGTTAGCACTCCTACCTTGCACTTCTAGGGCCCTGTGTTGATCCCCCACTAAATTACAATATGTACGAAGTTTGTATGTCCACCCTGTGTTTGTGTGGGTTCCCGCCAGATGGTTCAGTTTTCTCCCACAGCCCAAATAAGTATTATAATTTCAAACCAACATTGTTTAGTGCAAAGAGCTTGGCCCTTGGAGGTCCCAGCTAAGGAATGGGAGTTTCTGCATCCAGTAGGGTGGGCTTTTGGCTTTACCCCCGGCTCACATATCTGCGGCTGTGCGGGACTCGTTTTGCGTGGGCACGAGAGCCCATTTATTAGAATGGATTCCCTGCGGGACACGCAGGAAAGAAGTCCCTGCACTTCTTTGGAAACCGCAACCCGCATGGGATCCGTGGTTCCCAGTATGGTTGCGATTTCCAATGCGGGAGGTGTGCCATTAGAATGAATGGCACCTGCCCGCGGGTCCCACATTGCTCTGTGCGGGTGGTGCGGCTGCAGGTATTTTTGTGTGGATCCGCAGTGGCACCACCCGCACAGATGTGAACCTAGCCTTAGGGTTTTTTTAGTGTTAAAGTGATTCCAAAGGTTTTTCACTATTCTGTGCATGAAGGTATAAAACCTGTGTGCTGCATTACCCCCAGCCCCCTAATACTCACCTAAACCCCCTCTCGATCCAGTGATGTGCACTGTAGTCTCAGGTATCCCGGGACTCCTTCTCATTGGCTGAGACAGAAGAAGGGGCCATTGGCTCCCACTGCCGTCAATCACAACCAGTGAGCCAATGAGAAGAGAGAGAAGGCAGAGACGAGCCACGGCTCTGTGTGTGAATGGACACAGGGAGCAGCGGGTGCCAATTTGCAAGCTGCTTGCTGTGGGGGCACCCCAACAGGAGGAAGGGGCTAGGAGCCGAGAAGGAGGATCCAGGCTGCTCTGTGCAAATCCACTGCCCACAGCAGGTAAGTATAGACATATTTGTTATTTTTTCTAAAAAGAAAAAATGATACGCCTTTAGAATCACTTTAAGGTTGTGGCTCAGGAATTGAGTTAAAGGTCAAAGTGGAGGTTTCAAGGCGAGGGGGGGTGTCAACAGGTTGATGCAATCTACTTATCGATCATGACAATGTGAGCAGTTCACCGAGATCCCTCCATGCAAGCAAGTCACCTCCTCGCACGGCCTATCCCTTCCCAGACCTGAGAATAGAACAGCAGTAGGCAATGCAGAACTGAAGGAAGTCCTAGACTACTTTTCCGCTCTGACCTGTCATGTGGCATAACCAACGGGAGACCTGGGATGACGTCCCTTGTTCTAGCAGATGCCTTCATTTTACAGGAGCAAGAGAAAATGTGTGCTGTGGGTAATGTTAGCTTAGGTGAAATTAGTTGAAATTTGTAATGGAAGGGGGATTTTGTCTTGTGAGGGGTGAATTACTACTGTGCAAAATATACTAATAGCATTGCTTACTATTTACCCTTGTACATACTACTGACCCCTGCACTCTGTGTTACCTATTACTGACCCCTGCACTCTGTGTTACCTATTACTGACCCCTGCACTCTGTGTTACCTATTACTGACTTCTGCACTCTGTGTTATTCCTGATTTCTGAATACTACATTACATACTCCAGATTGCTGTATTCTACATTACTTATTTCTAAACCCTGCACTGTTTATTACATACCACTGACCTCTGCACTGTCCATTGCTTACTACTGACCCCCCCTACACTCTGTGTTACATACTATTGACCTTTGCACTGTGCATTACGTACTACTGACCCCTACACTCTGTGTTACATATTATTGACCTTTGCACTGTGCATTACGTACTACTGACCCCTACACTCTGTGTTACATACTATTGACCTTTGCACTGTGCATTACTTACTACTGACCCCTACACTCTGTGTTACATACTATTGACCTTTGCACTGTGCATTACTTACTACTGACCCCTACACTCTGTGTTACTCTATTGTGTTACATTTATTGTGTTACACTATTGCACACTGTGCATTCCTTACTACTGACCCCTACACTCTGTGTTACATACTATTGACCTTTGCACTGTGCATTACCTTACTACTGACCCCTACACTCTGTGTTACATACTACTGACCTTTGCACTGTGCATTACTTACTACTGACCCCTACACTCTGTGTTACATACTACTTTGACCTTTGCACTGTGCACTTGCATTACTTACTACTGACCCCTACACTCTGTGTTACTATTGACCTTTGCATGTGCATTACTATTGACTTTTGCACTGTGCATTACTTACTACTACTGACCCCCTACACTCTGTGTTACATACTATTGACCTTTGCACTGTGCATTACTTACTTACTACTGACCCCCTCTACACTCTGTGTTTACATACTATTGACCTTTTGCACTGTGCATTACTTACTACTGACCCCTACACTCTGTGTTACTATTGACTGCACTGTGCATTACTTACTACTGACCCCTACACTCTGACATACTATTGTTTGCACTGTGCATTACTTACTACTGACCCCTACATGACCTTTGCACTGTGCATTACTTACACTTTGCCTTTGCACACTGTGCATTACTTACTACTGACCCCTACACTCTGTGTTACATACTATTGACCTTTGCACTGTGCATTACTTACTACTGACCCCTACACTCTGTGTTACATACTATTGACCTTTGCACTGTGCATTACTTACTACTGACCCCTACACTCTGTGTTACATACTATTGACCTTTGCACTGTGCATTACTGTACACTCTGTGTTACATACTTTGACCTTTGCACTGTGCATTTGCACTGTGCTTACTACTGACCCCTACACTCTGTGTTACATACTATTGACCTTTGCACTGTGCATTACTTACTACTGACCCCTACACTCTGTGTTACATACTATTGACCTTTGCACTGTGCATTACTTACTACTGACCCCTACACTCTGTGTTACATACTATTGACCTTTGCACTGTGCATTACTTACTACTGACTACTGACCCCACTACACTCTGACCCCTACACTCTGTGTTACATACTATTGACCTTTGCACTGTGCATTACTTACTACTGACCCCTACACTCTGTGTTACATACTATTGACCTTTGCACTGTGCATTGCTTACTTACTACTGACCCCTACACTCTGTGTTACATACTATTTGCACTTGACCTTTGCACTGTGCATTGTGTTACATATTATTGACCTTTGCACTTACTACTGACCCCTACACTCTGTGTTACATACTACTTGACCTTTGCACTGTGCATTGCTTACTACTGACCCCTACACTCTGTGTTACATACTACTGACCTTGCACTGTGCATTACTTACTACTGACCCCACACTTGACTGTGTGCACATACTGATTGACCTTTGCACTGTGCATTACTTACTACTGACCCCTACACTCTGTGTTACATACTATTGACCTTTGCACTGTGCATTACTTTACTACTGACCCCTACACTCTGTGTTACATACTATTGACCTTTGCACTGTGCATTACTTACTACTGACCCCTACACTCTGTGTTACATACTATTGACCTTTGCACTGTGCATTACTTACTACTACTGACCCCTACACTCTGTGTTACATACTATTGACCTTTGCACTGTGCATTACTTACTACTGACCCCTACACTCTGTGTTACATACTATTGACCTTTGCACTGTGCATTTCTTACTACTGACCCCTACACTCTGTGTTTACTGTGTTACATACTATTGACCTTTGCACTGTGCATTACTACTACTGACCCCTACACTCTGTGTTACATACTATTGACCTTTGCACTGTGCATTACTTACTACTGACCCCTACACTCTGTGTTACATACTATTGACCTTTGCACTGTGCATTACTTACTACTGACCCCTACACTCTGTGTTACATACTATTGACCTTTGCACTGTGCATTACTTACTACTGACCCCTACACTCTGTGTTACATACTATTGACCTTTGCACTGTGCATTGCTTACTACTGACCCCTACACTATTGACTTTGTTACTACATCTACATTGACCTTTGCACTGTGCATTACTTACTACTGACCCCTACACTCTGTGTTACATACTATTGACCTTTGCACTGTGCATTACTTACTACTGACCCCTACACTCTGTGTTACATACTATTGACCTTTGCACTGTGCATTACTTACTACTGACCCCTACACTTCTGTGTTACATACTATTGACCTTTGCACTGCATTACTTACTACTGACCCCTACACTCTGTGTTACATACTATTGACCTTTGCACTGTGCATTGCTTACTGACCCCTACACTCTGTGTTACTACTGACCCCTACACTCTCATACTATGACCTTTGCACTGTGCATTGCTTACTACTGACCCCTACACTCTGTGTTACACTCTGTGTTTACATACTATTGACCTTTGCACTGTGCATTTCTTACTACTGACCCTACACTCTGTGTTACATACTATTGACCTCTGTGTTACATACTATGACCCCTTTGTTACATACTATTGACACTGTGCATTACTTACTACTGACCCCTACACTCTGTGTTACATACTATTGACCTTTGCACTGTGCATTACTGACCCCTACACTCTGTGTTACATACTATTGACCTTTGCACTGTGCATTACTTACTACTGACCCCTACACTCTGTGTTACATACTATTGACCTTTGCACTGTGCATTTGACTTACTACTGACCCCTACACTCTGTGTTACATACTATTGACCTTTTTGCACTGTGCATTGCTTACTACTGACCCCTACACTCTGTGTTACATACATACATACTGACCTTTGCACTGTGCATTACTTACTACTGCCCCTACACTCCGTGTTACATACTATTGACCTTTGCACTGTGCATTACTTACTTACTATTGACTGCACTGTGCATTGCTTACTACTGACCCCTACACTCTGTTACATACTACTTACCTTTGCCCTGCCTACACTACACTGTGTTACATACATACTATTGACCTTTGCACTGTGCATTACTTACTACTGACCCCTACACTCTGTGTTACATACTATTGACCTTTGCACTGTGCATTGCTTACTACTGACCCCTACACTCTGTGTTACATACTATTGACCTTTGCACTGTGCATTACATACTACTGACCCCTACACTCTGTGTTACATACTACTGACCCACTGCGCATTACTTACTACTGACCCCTACACTCTGTTTACATACTATTGACCTTTGCACTGTGCATTGCTTACTACTGACCCCTACACTCTGTGTTTGCATACTATTGACCTTTGCACTGTGTATTTGCACTTACTACTACTGACCCCTACACTCTGTGTTACATACTATTGACCTTTGCACTGTGCATTACTTACTACTGACCCCTACACTCTGTGTTACATACTATTGACCTTTGCACTGTGCATTGCTTACTACTGATCCCTACACTCTGTGTTACATACTATTGACCTTTGCACTGTGCACTACATACTACTGATCGATATACTATTGACTCTGTTACACATACTACTGCAGCTTCCAGTTACATACTACTGCAGCTTCCAGTTCAGTTCTCTTTAAAGCAGCTGTTACCACTGACAGGGCTTCCATCTTCACCCAGTCGTCCTTCCAAGTTCGTGGGCTCTGGCCACTTGATTGGCCAAGCCGCAATGATGTCACTCCCACGCATGTATGCAGGAGCTTCAGCTGCAGCACAGAGCTCTGAAGGAATGGGATGGGTATGCCGTTCCTTCAGAGCTCATGCGTCGATGATGTCATCGGCTGCAGGGACACCGAATATTCCCTATACGGTGCATGTTGAGGAGGTATTCCTTGTACCTCCAGGTAAGTGCACCTGTAGGTACAAGAGTCCAGTGGGAGTTTACTTTGACTTTGTTTATCTTTTTATTTTCAAAGGGTGACGGTTGGGATGCTTTCACACCTATGCATAGTGGTACATGTTGGATGTGTTAAAAAAAATAACTCCTGTATATTGCCTCTTTGGTAAGGTTTCTAACAAAACTAAACTTTCTCCACTTCCTATGGGGAGAGGTTAATATGAAGTATGCAAGATGTAGTGTACCTCTCTACAAGAGTGTTACATTGCACAGAGAGAGGCTCTTTTCTGGCTGTGGTCCCCCCCCCCATCCCCCCATAATGCTCCCTGTTGCTACTGCCTTGTCACTGTCTTTAAAGTGTTACTAAATCCCGGAACCCTGCATTCACTATATCCGGTCTCCCCGGACCCTGCATTCACTATATCTGGTCTCCCCGGACCCTGCATTCACTATATCCGGTCTCCCCGGACCCTGCATTCACTATATCCGGTCTCCCCGGACCCTGCATTCACTATATCTGGTCTCCCCGGACCCTGCATTCACTATATCTGCTCTCCCTGGACCCTGCATTCACTATATCTGGTCTCCCCAGATCCCGCATTCAGTATATCCGCTCTCCCCGGACCCTGCATTCCCTATATCCGGTCTCCCCGGACCCCACATTCACTTTATCTGGTCTCCCCGGATCCCACATTTACTTTATCTGGTCTCCCGGACCCTGCATTTCCTATATCCAGTCTCCAGGACCCTGCATTCACTATATCTGGTCCCCCGGGACCCTGCATTCACTTTATCTGGTCTCCCCGGACCCTACATTCACTATATCCGGTCTCCCCGGACCCTGCATTCACTATATCCGCTCTCCCCGGACCCTGCATTCACTTTATCTGGTCTCCCCGGACCCTGCATTCATTATATCTGGTCTCCCACAGTACACAGAAACTGGAAGTGCAATTATTTTAGTAAATATAAACTGCTAAATACCTTTTCTCATCAGCAGTTAGTGCAGTCTTGTGACTTCTATCAGTGTTCAGCAGAGCATTAGTTAGTTCTTTCTGCTCTAGGAGGATGCAGAACCCCTGGCCTCTGTCTGGACAATGCCGATTGGCCTTGTTCTGATCACATGCAATCTCCCAAGAAGAAAAAACCTCCCTAGCAATGCACACTAAACCAAGCATGTGCAGAATGACTACGGGTTCAGTCTGTCTTATCAGGCGATAAGACGTGAACATTTGAACAAGAGGAGGAGCAGATAAGACAGGATCAAACAGCCTTTCTAAACAATGCAGAGAATTAACCCCTTAGGTTCCACAGTGAGTATAACAAGCATGCTTTACTGCATCTACAGACTGATTGTACTGTTGTGGGTTTAGTAACACTTTAAGGTAGATGCCTGTAGATGATGCACCCTGCACAGCAGATCACATCAAATTCTACATCTGTGCACCATCCCTGCACTAAATATTCCCTCTTTGGCATCCTGTATGTAGCACCCTCCTAGATAGGTACTAGGTTTAGAAAGATAAGATTTAGCTGTGTTTTGATAGGTAGATGTAGTTGTCACTCTGTAGTCAGTGTGGATGTAAGTGTTGTTAGGTAAAAGCACAAGTTGCACACTGTAATGGGTGTCGCTGTGTTCTGCTGGTTAGGTCTGCTCAGTTTGCTCAGCTGCATCCAGCCTGATAGTTGAACCTGCTGGATGATAGGTGTAGAGCTATGCAGATGGCAGCATGAGTATTGATACAGCCCCGGCCTATCCCAGGGAGACTGGCTCTGATGGCATGCTGGCTGATTGTATATATTCAATGAGCACACCAAGTTCTGTGTCTTTTCCTGTATAGAATAGGTCCAGCCTGGAGAGGGCATGCCGCTGCCTCAGTCAATTCTGCTGTATCTTCTGCAGTAGGCCACAGATGGACGACCTGAGGGCCTCTATACTAAGACTTGGGTTCTGCTAAAGCTAACGGAGAGGTCGTCTACTGAAAATCTGGTTTGGTATCAAGGAGGAAGGCAACCATCTGCTCTTGGGCCTTGTGAGTATAGATATATTGAAGGGATCTTAGAGACTTTGTGCAACTTAACCCCCTCTGGTGCTAAGGAGACAGCTGCAGGTCTAGCTAAAGAGGACACCGCCTGGCGTCTTGAGGAGCATTGTCCATCTCCTACTTGAAGGGACTCTGCTCCAGCTTATTACCACAACTTCTACTGCTGTCCTAAAGCTGAAGTCTACTGTGTTCTTCAAGCATGGACTTTGTCATAGTTTATCTGAAAGAATACCTAAAGTTCTTGTTTTTGGAGTATCCTACTCAGTTCCCTCATCCCTATCCACGTTCTCCAAAAATAAAAACAACACCCCTAGACTGGTCATTGAAGGAACGCGTGAATGAGCCTCTGTGCCTGGCTGCAGGACAAAGCTTTTGAGGAAGACCTGGACAGTGTTCCTGCGGCTCCTATGGGAGTAGCGCTACATGTAGATAACAGGAACATGGCTTGTGCTGCCCACGTGCAAAAGGATTTTCATAGTCAACTAGCTTTATAAGCTGGAAAAAGGAGAACAGTACAAAAAAGCGACAGGTTTTATCATTATAACTTACTTTTGGATGGTTACACAGCCACTGAGCAGCTTCTTCAAAGTATTCCAGATCCATGTCCTCCATTTGGCTTGGCAGATCTTCATAGGCATAATAGGCCAAGGCAAGAGAAGCAAACCCTCGACTGGCCAGAAGGCTGCTTTTAGACACCATTAGACCACCAATTCTACCATATATATCAATGACTCCAGGGAAAGGACCTTCTCCTGTAAATTAGGATACTTGTCAATGTTCTCATTTATCCAGGTCATGGTTTAGTGTCTAGCACAACAGTTAGTTGCATTCATTTGGATTTCTTTTGAATTGTAAAAATAAAGACCTTTTTACCACTTATCCAAGTCCACAGTTCAAATTATTATTAGAGTTTACCTGTCATGTTTTTGGACAATCAACATCTGTCTTGACACGAGGGGCAGACTGGGAACTCATGGGGCCTCCAAGCAATAGGGGATCATGGGGCCCCTGTGCCCTTGCCCACACTCAAACCACACCCAAAAAAGCCTAGGAAAGGTACCAGGCACTCATTTGAACTCAGAAAGCCACTTGGATGAGCGGTGAAATGTTTTTAATATAATTAACCATTTGAATACCGGGCAATTTCCCCCTTCCCGCCCAGGCCATTTTTCAGGTTTCAGCGCTCTCACACTTTGAATGACAATTGCGCGGTCATACAACACTGTACCCAAACTAAAATTTTATCATTTTCTTCACACAACTAGAGCTTTCTTTGGTGGTATTTAACCTCTTGCCGACCGCGCATAGCCGAATGACGGCTTCACCGCGGCCGGCCAGTTCTGGGTGGACGTCATATGACGTTCTCCCAGAACGCACTCTCCTGGGCGCGCACCCGGCGATCTCCGTGATCGCTGTGTCCTACGGACACAGCTGATCACGTGATGTGGTAAAAGGCCAATCACAGCGGCCTTTTACCACGTGATCAGCGGTGTCCAATGACACGCTGATCACAGGGAAATGCAAGTGCCGGTTCTCGGCTGCACTTTCCTCACGCTGTCAGATCGTGAGGAAAGTACTGCCGAAAACCGGCAGTTGTCAGAGCGGGGATCGGCACCGATCATCAGGGCACTGATGATCAGTGCCCTGATGATCGGTGCCCAGCAGTGACACCCGCAAGTTCCGCCCAGCAGTGCGCCCACTAGCCCCGCCCACCCGTGCCCAGCAGTGCACCCACCTGTGCCCAGCAGTGCCCCCACCTGTGCCCAGCAGTGCACCCACCTGTGCCACTCTGCAGTGCCACCTACCTGTGCCCAGAAGTGCCACCTACATGTGCCCAGCAGTGCCACCCACCTGTGCCCACCCACCTGTGCCCACCAGTGCCACCCACCTGTGCCCACCAGTGCCACCCACCTGTGCCCACCCACCAGTGCTGCCCACAGTGCCACCCACCAGTGCAGCCCAGCAGTGCTGCCAGTCAGTGCCACCAGTCAGTGCCCAGGGGTTGTGCCAGTCAGTGCCGCCAGTCAGTGCCCAGCAGTGATGCCAGTCAGTGCCGTCTATCAGTACCCATAATCAGTGTCACCTATCAGTGCCGCCAATCAGTGCTGCATATCAGTGCCGCCTATCCGTGACCCCTAATTAGTGCTGTCTATCAGTGCCGCCTATCCGTGCCACCTCATTAGTACTGCCTATCAGTGCCCTTTAGTGCTGCCTATCAGTGCCCATCAGTGCCGCCTATCAGTGCCCATCAGTGCTGCCTCATCAATGCACATCAGTGAAGGAGAAAAAATACCTGTTTGAAAAATTTTATAAAAGAAACAAATAAACTTTTTTTTTTTTTCAAATTTTTTGCACTTTTTTTATTTATAGCGCAAAAAGTAAAGCACCCAGTGGCGATTAAATACCACCAAAAGAAAGCTCTATTTGTGAGAAAAAAAATGATCAAAATTTCATATGGGTACAATGTTGCATGACCGCGCAATTGTCAATCAAAGTGCGGCAGCGCTGAAAGCTGAAAATTGGCCTGGTAAGGAAGGGGGTATAAGTGCCTGGTAGGCAAGTGGTTAATCACCGCCGGGGTTTTTATTTTTTTTGCTAAATTAACAAAAAAAGGCCAAACATTTGAAAAAAAAACACGTTTTTCTTTGTTTCTGTTATAAAAATTTACAAATAAATAATTGTTCTTCATAAATTTAGGCCGAGATGTATTCTGCTACATGTCTTTGGTGAAAATAACCCAAATTAGGATGTATTATTTAGTTTGTAGGAAAGTTATAGAGTTCACAAACTATGGGATATGTCTGAATATTGATCAATCCTGAAGTACTGACAGCCAATCTAATTTCTTGAGGTCCAAAAATGTCAGAAACAGTACAGATATCCCCCAAATGTCAGGACAGTACAGATATCCCCCAAATGTCAGAACAGTACAGATATCCCCAAATGTCAGAACAGTACAGATATCCCCCAAATGACCCCTTTTTGCAGAGTAGACAGTCCGACGTACTTCATAAGAGGCATGGCGAGTTTTTGAAGTTGTATTTTGTTTGTCATAATTTTTCGGAAAATGAAAAAATTAAAAAAAATTATTTTCACTATTTTTTTTTTTTACATACTGTCACCAGTGCAGTACAGCGTCATCATATAACTGGCATGGCGGTGAGCAGGGACACTGACTGGTGACAGTATGAAAAGAAATTATATATATATATATATATATATATATATATATTTTTTTTTTTTTTTATTACATTTTTTTTTTTTTTTTTTTTAAGATTTTTTTTTCATATTTTACTATGACCAAAGTAGTACAATGTTACCATAGTAACATTGTACTACTTTGGGGAAGTGATCAGTATTTTTTTTTTTTTTTTACACAATTTGCTTATAGCAAAGAATTACTTTGCTATAAGCAAGCATTTATCTGAATGAAATCGATTCATTCAGGGTTTTTTTTTTTTTTTTTTATTGTGCTTAGCTGTGATTTGGCCACAGCTAGTCACATGACATGTGCATGTGACCTGCTGTGACCATTCACAGCTAGACACTAGTATACAATGGATGGCAATGAATGAAGCCATCCATTGTATTACAACTGTCATGTGACCTGCTGTGATTGGTCACAGCAGGTCACATGGTACCGGCAACGGGGGCTGGTACTCAGATCTGTCATCGGCCGTGTCTGAGGTACACGGCCGGTCACAGATCACGCCGCTGCGCGGCTCTGCAACCGTGCGAACTGCGCATGTGCGGGAGCATGCCAAATGGCGTGCACCCGGAAAGCTGAAGCATTTTTGCGGTCGCCAAACGGCTATAGGCCAGGCGGCTAATGGTTAAAGAAGTTCAAGTAAAACATCTGCTAGCTTTAGGACTCATGCATTTTTGCAGCCACTTTTAGGGTGTCAGGTGATTTTTTTTTTTTTTTTACTGCTCCCAAACGACCCTCTATGGTTTGCTATGTGTCCATGCACACACACATAGACTTAGAAGCTTTTATTAGCAGTAGCATTTACCAGCAGGAAAAAACCCAGGACTGGTGTCTCCAGGAGCTGCAGCGTTTTGGCAGAAAAAAACACTTGACACGTGTAAAATGCGCCTAAACACTAAACACGTTAAGCTCTTGAGCATTAATTCATTTCAATGGCCAGAATAAATTATTATTACGGCCAAAGAAACGAATTAACACCCAAGTGCTTGACGCCTATAAACGCTTCTAAATGTTTGTAAAATGTGTTTAGACAGTTTGACAAGCTTTAGGAGTTTTTTCTGCCAAGTGTTTTTAAAACGTCCTGTGTGCATGAGTCCTTACAATTAGACCATTCACAATACAGTCTCCAAAGAATTTAACCACTTGCCCCCCAGGATTTACCCCCTTCCCGACCAGGCCATTTTTTGCATTACGGTGCTGCGTTATTTTAACTGACAATTGCGCAGTCATGCAACGTTGCACCCAAAATGAAATTTACATCCTTTTTTTCCCACGAATTGAGATTTCTTTTGGTGGTATTTGATCGCCTGTGTGTTTTTTATTTTTTGCGCTATAAGCAAAAAAAAGACCGACAATTTTGAGGAAAAAAAAATATTTTGGACTTTTTGCCATTAAACATGTCCAGTAAAAAATTAAAAAAATCAAATTTCATCATAAATTTAGGCCAAAATGTATTCTGCTCCATGACTTTGCTACAAAAAAAATCCCAATATGTGTAAATTAATTGGTTTTACATGAACGTTATAGCGTTTACAATTTGCGGCATAGGTACTGGGATTTTATTTTCTACTAGTAATGGCGGTGATCAGTGACTTTTAGCGGGACTGAGGCGGGGAACTAACTTGGTGTCATTGACATCCCCAGTGACACCATTACAGTGATCAGTGATATAAAAAAGCACTGACACTGTATACTAATGACACTGGGCAGGCAGGAGTTAATGTGAGGGGTGATCAAAGGGTTAACTATGTGTAGGGAGTGTTTTACTAGGAGGCTGTGGGTGTGTGCTTTACTGTAAGCACACTGCTCGGGATGGCTGTGCTGTGCACAGCCATCCCGAGCAGTGTGCTCAAGCTGAAAGGGAGGAAGACTGTGAACAAAACAGTCTTCTTCCCCATTGGTGATTGTTGGTAATCACCGGGTGTCGGCTATGAGGAGCCATGCAAAGCAGTGGGCAGGAGCTGATAGGGGAGAGAATTGTATTATTTACATACAGTTCTCTCCCTCCAGCAATAATGCTCCACGATCACCGGGTGTCGGCGAGTAATCACTGGCTGGGACCGGTGATTTACATCCATGGGCGTGAATGGCGGTGCTGGTAGGGCGCGTGCCCCCTACCCAGAAATGCAAAATCATGTGTGTATATTATATACAGTGGCAAGAAAAAGTATGTGAACCCCTTGGGATTACGTGGAGTTTTGCATGAATTGGGCATAAAAATGTGCTCTGAACGTCATCTAAGTCACAACAAAAGAAGAACACAGTCTGCTGAACATAATACTACACAAACATTAGATGTTGCCGTGGTTTAATTGCACATAACATGTAAACATTCACAGTGCAGGGAGGAAAAAAGTATGTGAGGCCCTAGCTTAATGACTTCCCCCAGATCTAATTGGAGCCAGGATGTGAGCCAACCTTGACTCCAATCAGTGTGATGATATTGGATGTGTTGCTGACAGCTGTCCTGCCCTTAAAAAACACACACTGTTTTGGGTTTACTGGTTTCAAGAAGCACTGTCTGATGTGAACCATTGCCTCGCA